CAAATTTGTACATCCAATAATTAGCAATTTTTAATCATAAATCTTGTCACTTAAAAGTACTCGTTTTTATTTTTCTTTATTTCACTATGCATGAGTGCTATTGTTAAGTTATGAACCATTTTAACTCAAAATGACTACACAAAACATAAAATAGCGTCAATGGCACATTGAAATCTGTCCGGACTTCATTTTATTGTGTAGGGCTTAATTACATCGTTCTACACGGAACCGATCTGTTTTTATTCGCTTTTCTCTAGAAATTTCTATTTTATCACAGTTACCAACATTTTCCTGTTATTTATATATTGTCAAAGTTGTCGAAACTGCTGACGCCTCAGCTCCTAAACTCTCCTAAAATTGGGACTGTGGTGCGCCATAGCGCGTACTTTCGCCTTCCCTTCTCCATGCCTCCGAAATGCACATTTTGACAAAATAGTAAATATATGAAACATTTTATTTAGAAAAATAATTAAGTTTTGCCTTCAGAAAAGTTCTATAGTGCATGCATTTCCAGCCTTTTTGTTTTTTTCCTTCTTTTTAAATAAGCTATGCAAACCCGTACGGAACTCACACAACAGTTTTACATTTTAAACTGATATTGGAGATTAGGGACTAGCAACCTTCTATGCTACCAGTCGATATTTTATAATTTTTTGCGAGCAGTTTAATATGAAGATCAGTTTGAAATATAGATGTAATAGTCATAGAATTACTTAATAGGAACCGGTCCCGGTCAACGAGCTTTGGGTGGATAGATGAGATATAGTAAATACTATCACAGTCTCAATACTCAGCTCATCAAAACAATAATTTGTCGCCATCCAGTAGATGGAGGTTGTTTTTGTGGAAGTTAGATGTTAACCGCACCAGGGACGAAAAATAATCCTAAAGCTCCTATCACAAACTTGGTAACTAATAATAACCTGCTGATGTTATTAAGCATATGTAGGTTGGTTATGCTTATCTCTTTTCAATCTTTCTTGTAAGAGACAGAATTTCTTGAAAAATTTGTAAGAAAATTATTCGGTGTAATGTACTGCAAGTCTATGAACTTCGAAGAGGATCAATTTAGGTTGAGCGAACTTTTGGTCGAATCTGTAAAAAATGTT